ACTGTTTTTATTTTCTTAATCTTCTCTTCCCCTTATGAAAATTTAATGCAAGAGGTACGCTGTGTGTGTGTTACAGTTATAGCTATGTTTTAATATTGTAAAGAGTAAGACTCTTTCAGCTCACTCAAGAACCAGATCTCAGCTCCTTTGGAGCAGTAGGATCCCCTGGGGCTCCCCAGTCTAGATTCTTGGGAGACCTCCTAGAATGGGTGCCTTTTATTGAAACTCCTTAGTTAGCAAGTGTGTCAAGCACTTAGACATACGATGTTTCCCGTCATGCATTTCCTCTCTCTGTCTCCCTCTCTGCTGGTGTTAATACTCACTGTCTGGTTAGTATTTCCTGAAATCTTTTCTTTATGTGGGATATGGAAGCCCTGAGACAGGAGAATCACTACTGCATAGTGAGACCCTGTATCAAATAAATAAATAAAAATATCTTTGTAAGTCTGTGTATCTATAAAGACTTCTTTTTCTCATTCTTTTTCTCATTCTTATATTCTGAAATATAAGTGTAGATCTTCTTGGGCTCGAATGTTAGTGTATGATACGGCACCCTAGTGTTGCACATAGTTCAAGTCTGTTTCTCTTGGTAGCTCACTTATTTTGGGCCAGAGAACTGTAGGAGTTTCTTTATACTCAGTTATCTCCCAGATCGGGCCTCTCAGTGTGTCTCTCTACCGTAAGTGTGTCTCTGTCCTCAGGAGTCTTGTCAACTTCTCCTGGATTTAGGTCTTCCCTCCCCCCACCCCACTCTGCCATCTCGAGGCCTGAATCCCTTTTCACTGTTCAGCCTTAGCCGGTAAGAAGCCTCTGTCATCCAGTCACCTCCAGGAGCCTCACTTCCTCCTGGGCTGTCATTCATGCGCGTGTATATGTGTGCTTCATTTGAATTTGACGTTCTCTCATCGTCTGTCTTTTATCAGTTTGATTCGTGGGCGCTGCCAGTGAACCAGGAGGTGCACTCAGGCAGAGGAAAATGTTCGTTTTCTCACACGGGCTTACCCAAGTCTCTAAGACCTTAGGCAGCCTCTGTGAAGTCCCCAAAGGCTGAGCTGGGTCTCTATCCTCAGGGCACCCCTTCCTCCCCGGGGCCAGACTGTACATCCTAAGGTCTCCTGCAGGATCCTAGAAATGTGGCTTAAAGTAGGTCAGCATGCCGGAGCCACTGTCTTTGAGATGACTTCTTCACAGTTGAGATGTTGGCTAATGTTTTTCACCAGAATGGGTAAGATTTTAAATTGCTGGTGTTTAAAAGCCAAGGAGCTTTTGCTAGTGCTTTATTAAAAACTGATGAGTGAGCTTAACTCGCAAAGCACTAAGCCTTCACCCAGGTCTGTGGGGGGCAGGTGTTTAATACCTTCGGAAGTTATTACGTTCTGAATGTCATAGCGAAAGTGACTGAACAGCAGATGGCACGCAGAGCATGGGAGACTTAATGAAGTTTCACCTCGAGCCCCACTACAGGAGTTCTGCCAAGCCCGAGTTCACTCTAGTGAGCATGAGGATTAAATTTTTAGAGATTTCTTGGTATAAGTTATCAGCACATAAGAGCAAAACCAAGTGAATTGGTTTAGCAAAGCTGGCCCCGTAGGTCTTCCTAGACGCGCGAGGTGTCCGTCTGTGTGGGTGGGAGCTACGCAAGCAGCTTCTCTGAGAATGTGATGTCTGGGCTGTGCACACATCACCGAAGGCAAGTGTGACAGGAACAAGCTGGCCTGCAGGAAGGAGGCCAGAGCTGACTAATGGGCTGCAGGGGTGTGGAGCCCAGAGCGCCACGAGATGGAGCGAAAGCCCAGGACTCTCGCTGCCCACGCCCTCCCCTCTCACTAATCACTGTAAAATTCACAATTCACACTGATGCTGAAATCACCAAAGCAGCTGCAGCCCTGTTCTTTTCTTTTTTTTTTTTTTTTTTTTTTTGGCGGAACCGGGGATTGAACTCAGACCCTTGCGCTTGCCAGGGAAGCGCTTATTCCACTGAGCCATCTCTCCAGTCCCCTGCAGCCCTGTTCTTGTCTGTCCTTTTTCTGTTTCTCTGTATGTCTTGGGTCTCTTCCTTTCCCCCTGCCCACACCTGCTTCTTTCTGGGAGATGGTGTGGGTCTGTCAGGTGCTCTCCCACTGGAATGCCTGGCTCAGAGTGAGGCTGCCTCCAGGCTCTGGGATACAGAGTGCCTTGGTTGCCCGTGGTGAGCCCCACACCCAGCAGTCTTAGTTTCTGCTAACATGATGTCCATGAAGGGTGCGGCTCAAGCTCTGGCCTCAAGCACCCCAGCTTCATGGACTTTGGCACGGGGGCTCCCTCCTCCTGATACTCCATAGCTTTCGGCTCTCAGTCACTGGCTTTTCACTTTCCTAAAGCTGAACTGCAGGACTCACTGCTTGCATCTGCATTTCTTCCATTCTGTCTTCCTAGTCAACTAATCCTTCATAAATAATCCTTATCAGCAAGCCATTTTTATCAAAGTAAGATAAGACTTTGTCCATGGGAGCCATTAAGGGCCAACTTCTGTGACCTATCTAGTCCTGGAAGGTGTTTGTGTTTATGGTCTAATAGCAAAAAAAAAAAAAAAAAAAAAAAAAAAAAAAAATCAATGAAGGAAGGCTATTTTCCTTTTATGATGAATGAAGAGAGGGACTCAATAAAAGCACAGATGGGAAATTAAGTAGGGTAATATTGCAGTCCCTTCCTGGAGATAAGATAGTGTGTGCAGAGCTACCATTCATGAAAGTCTCCTTCACAAAGGACTTCCATCTAGAACATATAAAGAATTAAAATCAGGTCCCCCCCCCCAAATTCAAAGACCCAGTTAAAAAAAATGGGCATCTGAAATGAATATACACTTTTCAGATGAAGAAATACAAATGGCAAATAAATATAATAAATATATGAAAAAAATTTTCAATATCATTGATCATTTGAAGAATTAAAACAACACTGAGATTCCATCTCACCCCAGAGAGCATGGTTGTCATCAAGAAATCAACCAGTAGCAAACGCTGGATGGGATATGGGGAAGAGGAACCCTTGTCCACTGTCAGTGGGAGTGCAGACTGGGACAACCACTGTGGAAATCAGTGTGGAGATTCTTCAAAGCACTGGAATTTGCAGTCCCATTCCACTCAGCTATTCTCCTCCTGGGTCTTTTTCCAGAAGAACTGAAAACATCATACCAGTGATGTATGTGTGTCCCTATTTACATCAATACAATTTGTCAAAGCCAAATCTTGGAAACAAACCAAATGCTCATCAACTGAGGATGGATAAAAAGGATGTGGTATTTTTATACAATGGGGTATTACTCAGTTATAAAGGGTTTTATAGGTAAATGGATCCAGTGTAAGTACCACGCACTAACCAGTTGCACCACTGGAGCTCCAGTGGATCCAACTAGAGACTTTACTCATAAGTGAAATAAATCAGACCCACATATGTAGACATCATATTGTCTCCCTGGTGTAAGAAACTGAAGGAGTAAATAAAATCCGAAAAGTACAGTAGATATTGTGAAACGGAAAGTAAATACTAGGAAAAGGAGGAAGCAGAGGAGGAGGGTACAAATTTTATATATATACATGTTATATATATATATATATATACTTTAATATATAATATATAATTTATATATATCTAAACAACATAATTTCTTCATAATAAGCACATTTGATATAATAGCTAAGATAAGTTTACTACCAATTTCTATTGCTTTATTTTAAAGAATAATGACTAAAGCGCTTACTTAAGCAAAGCGCAACTGTGGGGATTCAATCCCCTGTGTGCCATGCCAGCCCTGCCCCCCAGGGTGCGTCGAGATGGTGATTAAGACTAGGTGTGGTGGCGTGCGCCTGTAATCCCAGCATTTGGGAGGCTAAAAACAGGAGAACCACTAAGAGTCCAATCTAGTAGTGAGACCCGGGGATTGAACTCCAACCCTTGCTCTTGCCAGGGAAGCGCTTATTCCACTGAGCCATCTCCCCAGCCCCTGGCTTAATTTTTTGACCAATTCTATGTGCTTATATCTGATAATCTGAAACTACTTTGAAGATAACAATATGCAACGTAATAGCCAGTGTTGATTTCCTGTCATCTTGTTTTGAAATTGTTTGGCTTTTAATGTTTTTTATTCTCTTTTAAATAAAAAATAAAAAAAAATCTCTTTGAGAGTGAAACTTATATAATTTATTAAAAACTTATAAAATTTATATACTTGTGAAATTTCATCAGAAAGCTCTTCATTCTTACTTCGCTATTTCAGTTATTTTTAGCCAGAACATTAGTTAGATACAGTAAAACAACACTTCAATGAGAATGAATTCTGATAAATCATTGATTATTAACCATAATTATTATCTGTAATTCCCCCATAATAGCTAACACTCAAAAGAGGTTTGTAACTAAGTCCTTTAATCTCATAAAACCTTTTAAAGCAAGTATTAATAATCATCCACATCTTGCAGAGAAAGCAACTTTGAGGTTAGTGAGATTAAGAATCATAATTTGCAACCTGGAAACAAGCTGGACACTGGCTCTTTCTGGGTCAAAGTGAAGCTACTTACTATTTTGTTTATTTATTTATTTATTTATTTTGTGGTACTGGGTGATCAAACTCCACCTCTTGTGCTTGTGAGGCAGGTGCTCATGCCACTGAGCTATCTCGCCAGCTCCTTCTACTTACTCTTTTGGACTACCTCTGTGTAGGTGATGACGGGAAAAAAGTAAAAGGTGGATTTGCCCGTAGCCCTGAAACCATCGTGACCGTGATTGCTGGAGTGCGTAACTCTCAAAAAGCCAATGCTATCTCTGCTGTGCGCCTTCTGCATTTATATAAACTCTTTTGAAGGAATTTCATAAACGTGTGAACACCAGTTGCTGAAAGTTAAAGTCTTGCCTGTTACAAATGGAATGAATGGTTTTAATATTCATTGAGTTAACGTTTTCCTTCTAAAATAGAAAACATTTACACCTTCTGATTTTCTCTGTCTTTGAACGTTTTTTCCCAGGGTCAACGTCTTTTTGAAAAGTTGCTCCTGCTGACGTCACAAAATATTGAAGTCAAGCTAGTGAGTGATGTGACAGCCGATTCAAAGGTATTAGAAGCCTTGAAATTAAAGGGTAAGGCCAAGGTCGATGTGCTACTCTGCCGCTAGCTTTTCTGTTAAAAACCTTGAGTTTAACTTAAATAAGATATACTTTCTTCATGATAAGCACATTTGATTTAGTATACTTATTTCTCCTTTGAAAAAAATAGCTAGATTAATGAAGGATCTAATTGATTGATACTCCTGGGATTTTTGCAAAAACTAAAATGTAAACTAATCTACCAGATATTAAGTGACGATTATTTAGAAAGAAGAATCTTTTTCCTCTGAACCCTTCAGTGTTGTGATTAGGAAGAAGAGCCGCTTCCCACCGGAGCAAACAGTGGTTCTGTTTCTCTCTTGTCCATCAAAGGAAAATTCTCTTTCTTCTCCATGTTCTTTAAAATAACCTAGGCCTTTCCACCAGTATTTCATAGAAATTTAATAAGGTAAATGAAGTTAAAACTAGCCGTTTCTGATAGAGAGGCAAATTGTGAACCAGACCTCTTGTAACTGCTTCGCTGTAGAGCAGTGACCGTTCTCAGTGTGAATGGAAATTCTGAGAATTCAGGTTAGACTGTATTAGTTTAAAAACCATGACGTTGTCTTTAGCAGAACCTGTGATAAGTGATGCATTCGGTGATAGGAGTACTTCTGCCAAAAGAAAGTAAATCAATAAATGAACAAAAAAGTCCTATTACCAGAAATACAGAGGGGATTATGCAAATTAGTTCTATATGAAGTTTCTGTAGGAACACACTACAAGGGTATCAAAACCTGAGTCACACTGGAGAGAAGCGACTGACTGAGGCAGAAAGAGAGGATGTCAGAAACCATATCTGAGGAGCATGAGAAAAGCGCAACCCTGCATAGCTGAAACTCAGCGCGGCAAGGTCCGTGACGGGCCCTTCTGGCCGTGCCTGCTAAGAGGCAGTGCGACAACACGGCTCACTGGTGGGTTAAACTCTGTCACTAGGTGCTGTTTAGTATTTTTTAAATATTTATTTTCATTGAAAATTAACATATAAAAAAAGAAAATGAACATACATGTATTTGTCACATATAACGTGTTTTGAACTGTGTAGTCATTGTGGGATGGCTGCATTTAGCCAAAGAAACATGCACTGTTTGATGTATTTATCTTTTTGTGTATGGAGAAGACACTCAAAATATGCTTAGCAATTTTCAGGAACATAACGGTCCTTGCTAACTGGGGTCACTATGCCGCACTGTTCTTTAAGGATGATCAGTCCACTTGCACAAAACGAAAGTCGCCTGGGACCTGGGGGACCTGTGTGCTGAGCCCCACACCATGCCTCGCTCTGATGCTGCAGTGCTCTGTGGCTCAGGAGGTCAGCTCAGTCTAACAAGTGTTCCTTTGTTAGACTCAAACACTTTTCCTCCCGCTCCTTTCTCTTCTGCACGTAGATACGGAGAGCCTAATGTATGTTGTCCACGTGGACTTCATGGCATACTTAAGGACCTGGTAATGGAGCTGCCTCGTTAGGTTTGGTTTTGTTTGGTCAGAGCATTCATCTGTTAGATTTGGATTAGATAGGTAGATCGATAGATCAATAGATAGATAGAATAGATATGCTAGATTGATGGCAGATATGGATGATTGATTGATTGATATGATAGATATGCTAGCTAGATGGCAGATATAGATGATAGATTAAATAGATAGATAGATAGATAGATAGATAGATAGATAGATAGATAGAATACATATGATTAGATACATAAATAGATAGAGAGATAGCTGATATAGATGATAGATAGGATAGATATGCCACATAGATGGCAGATAGATAGATAGATAGATAGATAGATAGATAGATAGATAGACAGACAGATAGATATTAAATATAGAGGGTAGGTAGATGAAAGTAGAGACAGATGATAGAAAAATACAGATGAGGGGCTGGGGAGATGGCTCAGTGGAATAAGAGCTTCCCTGGCAAGCACAAGGGCCTGAGTTCAATCCCAGTTCCGAAAAAAAAAAGTAGAAAAATACAGATGACTATGAAAGCCCTGTCCCTGGGGTGCACTGGGATGGCAATTGAGACTGGGCGTGCTGGCGCATGCCTGTAATCCCAGCTTTTAGGAGGCTGCAAACAGGAGGATCACTGTGAGTCTGATCTAGTAGTGAGAACCTGAACACCCCGTAGACCCTTCCCTAAAATACAAAAAAAAAAAAAAAAAAAAATGCAGATGATGTCGATGACAGATATATAGATAAAAGTTGGCATATAAGTAAAAGATATAGGTGATACATAAATATATATATGGAAAGTAGGTAAAGACAGATACAGATTAGATATAGATGATAGATTGATAGTCTTCAAATTTTAAAATTCAAAAGTAAAGTTCTAGATTTTTCTATCTTTTTAATAACATTATCTCATTTCTTTTGCTTGTTTGCTCGGCTGGTTTTTGGTTTTAAAGAGACTGGGCCTTGCTCTGTTGCCCAGGCTGGTGTCAAACTCAGGATCACGCATTTCTCCTGCTTCAGTTTCCCGAGTAGTTGGGAGTACAGGCATGGCCTTCAGCACCCGGCTCATGTTGTCACGTTTCTGTTACCCTCTGTGATGACAGTACAAAATGCCCTTGGAGTGGCCTCTCCACCCCCATGACGGTGCTCAGCCATCTGCATCCCTCACCTCTTGTTGCCTTGTGACTTAAGTCACACATTCTCTGGGTGCTTGGCTCAGACTCTGTCCATGATTTGAGGAAGATGTTCGGAACTCTCCCTCAGTGGCACTGTATGGCACGCAAGGGGGCTACCCAGATCATGGTCTGTGCTGCTGAATAATCAGCCACCACATGCCCTGGTTGTCCGCAGTGTCCGCAGTGTCCTGATGAGCTCTGGTTGCGCATCCTCAGCATGGACATTTAATTGATGCTTATTTATGACCACATTTTGTCTCTCAAAACATGATTTTAATATTTGAAATTAGTTGACCAACTTCTCATTCATTGTACGAACATTGAGGCTGAGATGGGAGGACTGAGGCCAAGAATTCGAGACCAGCCTGGGAAGGATAGGAAGAATCCAGCATGGAAGACAAAACAAAACAAAAAATGGGAAAAAAACAAACATAAAGTATGTGTGAGCTGAGGAGCTGAGCAGAGTTTATAATTTCATGCGAGCTGCCCCACTTTCCAATTTGAACATTTTACAAAGTGATTTTGAACCATTATTCCAAATGAGTAGAATATAATTTGAGATTTTAGTCTTAATGAGGTTTTTTAAATATGTGGGTCTCACTGCTTTATGGTTATTCCAAAGTCTAAATCTACAAGAAGCTCCACTTGTATGTATTATTCTAACGCAAGCATTAAGAAGTACATATTGGTAACTTTTTTTTCATAATTTTATTGATAAACAAATAGCAATGAGACAGTTTCAAATCAAATCGCTAGGACAGTTTCAATAATTAACACACTGCATACATACTTCGTAGTGGTTAATTGCTGTACAAAATGCGGACTTGACATCCTATTTACAAACACCATTAGAACAAATCATTCTATTCATTAAGAGAATGCAACTATATATCTATCCTAACCACTTTGAATACACAGATACAAAATGGACATTCATCAGTATACCCTTTTTTTTGCTAAGTTCTGTTATTTGAATATTATAGGTGTGTAAACTCAGCAAAATATTCCAAAAAAGTCCAGTAGCCCACAATAGCAATGGGTCTTCTATTTAACTGACAATGTCAGAAATTGTTGACCTGAGTCCCCCACAGCTCAACATAACACATATTGGTAACTTTACTGCAGTAAACTGTGTTCCTGACAGTGCAGGTAGTCTGTCACCCTGATAGGCTTGGAAGCTGCCCCACGGATGGGTAAAGCACACTGCTGGGCAGACTAGGGAGGTCCTGAGGTAGGACTTTGGGGCCTCCATGAGGTCCTGGCCCCTTCCTCTCTGGCACTGTTCCCCGCTGTGTTTCCTGGCCACCGTGAAGCGAGGAGCCCCCCTCCATCATGACCATCCACCATGGTGCTCCTTCCCTGGAGCAGCTGACCATGGACTGCACCGCAACACCGTGGCTCACGTTAAGCCTCTCCTGGAAGCAGTGAGCACCATGCTTTGTATCCCATTAGCAGCAGCTGCCTCGCGAGAACCCTCACAGTGCCCTAAATATCTCTGTACTTTTTCTTCTTTGAGAAACTAACATCCTCATTCTCATGCTTGATCCTTGTAACTTCCTCCTTCCTTCCCCAGCAAAAACCACCTCAGTAGTTTGCAGCCACCTACTGGGTCTCCTAACCAGTACCATTCCTTCTTCCCAAGACTGTCTTCTGCTTACTAAGCGAAACAAGCAAACCAGGGAATGGCAGATGGAGACTCTTGCAGCATGGTACTTGGCGCCTTCCTATATGCTGAGTCCAGCCCGCTGTCCAGTTCCCTTCCTGTGCTCTCATAAAGCCATCCGTGGTTCTCTTTCAGGGCTGATCTTTTCACCTGAGGCATAGCCAGTCCCACATTCTTGGGGATCACACTCAGATTTCCCCCTTCTAGTCTCAAGGTACAATCTGCCTTTTAAAATCACTCTTTTGGTTAGCTGTGGTGGCCTGTGCCTGTAATCCCAGTGCTCTAGGAGGCCAAGGAGGAAGGATCACAAGTTTGAGCCCAGCCTGGGCAACTTGGTGACTTAGTGAAACCCTGCCTCAAACCATAGCTATAAACACTTTTTTTAAAGAAAAGTTAAAGTGCTGGGGATTTAATTGCTGTAAAAGCCCTGGGCTCAATCCTCCGTACCAAAGTGAAAAAAACTCTTTCCTTTCAACCCATAAACACATAAGGCAGCTGGGGAAAAGAACCCCCAGGAGTACGTGTCCCAGTCGATTCATTCAGGAGTGAGATCAGGAGATCAGAACCTCATGGTCTGGTCACCTCCCAGGGCCCCCAGCTCTGAACACTGTTTCATTGGGAACTAAGCCTTCAACACATAAGGTTTTGAGGGACATTTCAGACCCAAACCGTAACTGTAAACATCAGTGGAACAAAGAGAG